CACAGAATATTGGCCATTTGATGTTGAGAAAACAAGACTCATGGGGGGATAACAAGGTATAGAGCTGGATGAACACAGCGGCTAAGCAGCATCAGAGGAGCAGGAGAGCTGACATTTTGGGTCTGGACCCTGGCATCCTTAGAAGAGGCTTCACAGTGGGGTTAAAATCGATTCAGAGATAGTAGGAACTGCCAATGCTGGAGAATCTGAGATAACAAGCCAAGCAGCACCAGAGGACCAGGAAAGCTGACGGCTTTTTGGCCATATGGACACAATGTCTAGTCCATCAAATTTTATTTTGCATTTGCCTGAATGTTTGTGAACCTGGCTTTAAGAAGAATGCTGGCATTTGCTTGATCATCTTCCTGTTGAATCTAAAGGATCAAGCAGCATTGCTGACAGAATTTCTCTAGCATTTTTATGTAGTGTTGCACAGCCCAGGTCTTGCTACAGTGCAGGACTGTGGTGACAATATCTACTATATGCATGAGAGATTTTGTGACTTGTGGAAGGTTTTATTGTCTACACCCGCTGCCATACTTTGTAGAGGTTTGAGTTGGTACAGCTGATCTGGTTTTGAATTTCCTCATTATTGGGTTTTTAAGGGAAGTATCTGGCTAAGTATTTGAACATTTTCAACATATTCTAAAATTTCCCACTTGGCATTTATTGCAAATAGAATGTTTGGCTGATAACTTGTGGGTTTCCAATGTACTTCACAGCAAATGAAGTACATTTGACGTGCAATCTCTGTTTTAAGTAGATAAACAAATCCATCAATTTTCACACAAGGCCTCAAAACAGCAGAGAGAGAAATATTTTTAATGATATTAGTTAAGGTGTCTTTCTATCTGCAATCCCAAATGTGGAGGATTATTCTTTCCTGCATGGGTCATAGCTGGTTGGTAATGAGATATCAGTGTTGGTTGTGGCTTGACAGCCTATTAGCCGACTAAGCTGTCAAAAATGGACTCTTGTTCTTCAAATGGTACCTTAGGATCTTTTACTTTCACCTAAAAGAGCAAAGGGAACCACAACTTAACAGTGCTTGAAAGGGTAGCTTGTCCAACAGTGGAACATTCCATTACTTCTAATGTGTCAGCCTAAATTAAGTGCTTCCTGAAGGAGGTTTTAAACCTGTGCATTTCTGATTCAGTTGAGAATGCAACCAGTGACCCATTTAACCAATTTCTGATTAATATTGCTTATTACTTACTTTCACCAAAAGTATGTCAGCTTGCCTGTCGCCAATTCAGGTACAGAATTTACTTCAGTGAAGAGTGTCAATGATTAGCTTCAAACCTCTCTATGATTTGGAGTAGTTTGCTTTTCCCAGAAGTTGAAACTAGTGCCTCTTTAAAATTGAAAGTATCAACATGAATTATCTTAATTCAATATTTTTATGTGAATGACCAGTCGGGTTGAGAAAATTAGAAATGTGGAAGTTCTATTATAGATGTCAAGTCACTTTATTGTCAGTGCTAGGTGTTGTAAGTGTGGCACGTGTAGGCAAGGCAGGTAGCCCAACAGCTTTTACTACACAGGCCACCAGCCAGCAACAAGGGCGGTGGGTACTTTCTTATGGGACTTCGCTATGCCATTGGGCAATACTTCACTTGTTGGGGGGGTCTTTAAATCAGGTCTACCCAAAATACCATACTTACCTCAGAGTATGGTCTGTTTGATTTCCTTGAGGACTGCCTATATGTCCAGCAGTGACTGCCGCTCCATCCTAGTACTTTGGGACTACAGAGCTGGCCAGCCCAATTTGTTTCATTTAATTTTAACTCTTTAATGGTGTCTGGCCCATTGTAAATGTCTCTTCAACTGAGTGGCCTTCATAGGCCATTTCGGAGAGCAATTAAAAATCAACCACATTGCTTTGGGTCTGGAATCGCATGCAGGACAGACACTGGGTAAGCATAGCAGATTTCTCAATAAAGCAGTGAAAGTCCCACTTTGACTCTAAATGTTGCTTCTGCTGTAATATTGCTGTGCGGCAGCCTACTTGCAACTTTGTAGTCAGAAATAGGGAATACGTCTCCCCATAAAATCCACTCCCAAATGAAAACTGCATATTTTGATTTACAAAGTGGGTGAATTTTGATAGGTACTGTTATGGTCCAAACCCCCTCAAAATATGTTAACAAGATAGTCCAGGGGTGCATTCTAGATGCAATTTGATTGATTAAACTACTCAACATTAAGCAAAACACACTTTACTTTAACTGTAGTATTAAAATATAGACAAAATAAAAATAAAATATTTGGCTTAACTGTAATGCTATCAAAATGCTTAACAAAATAATAGAAATATTAACGACTACTAATTAACCATACCAATATAGTAACATCCCATAAACATACCCTTGGCAAAGGCAAATTTAGTAAAACAGATTGTCTTGCATACAGTTCTAGAAGAAGAGAATCCCAGCTTTTAGCGATAGCAGAGTGAGGAATAAGAGCCTCCACATCCAGCTTCAACATCCCAGCAACAGCTGAAAACTAAAAATCTTGGTTCTGTGGGAGCTTGACCTCACCCATTCAGGCTGCTTCTATTGTACCAACTTTTTAACAAAAACCCTACCAAGCTGTTTACTCTATTGGCTTTAAGCAGATTGCTGAGCACCTCTGTCTCAACCTTTCTTCATAAAGAAAGGGACAAAATACACCTCTTAAAGCCATAATATCATCACATCTCTTCTCCACCATCCCCCCATTTTTAAAAAAAAAACTACTATCAATATACAAAAATGGCTTCATTTATTTTAAAAAACCTCTAGCCATATGTTATTGGTACACTACAATACATATACATTACATAGATTCTAAACATGCACACATTCACTACTACATATGATTTCAATCCATTTTTTTCCCGCCACCGAATGCCTTTGTCTTTGATCATCAAAGTTGTGACAGCATATTGGCAATTATGTTTTCTTGTCCTGTCAAATTGAGTGGCTGCAATAATAAGCTCCATCTAAACCGTCTTATTTTTCTCCTTAAATTTTTGTTTAAACTTTAAGGAGTTATGATCAATATATACAATTGTCTCAGACATACTACTGGCAATATAAATGTTATAACGCCAGCATTAAACTCGAGGTCTCCTTCTCAATTGTGGAATATTTCTGGAAAATTACCCATTAGGTCTTTCTACCTTGTCTTTTTGCAGGAGTACAGCACCTACACCAACACCCACATCCACTCGCATCGATAGACACCTTAAATGGTTTTGCATAATTAGGTGTGTCTAACACTGGGGTGGTGGTAAGCAGCTTTCAGGCTGAGAAATGCCTTCTGACATTTATCCATCCACTGAAATTTTCTGCACTTCTTCAACAAATCAGCCAGAAGATCAACCTCACTATTAAAATTCGATACAAACTTCCAATAAAGTCACTCGATCCGAGGAATCATAGCACATCCCTCTTTGTTGATGGTATGGGAAACACCTTTGTTTTCACATCCCATTGAGCCATCTGTCCATGTCCAATAAGATGGCCCAGGAATGTGACTTGGGATTTTGCAAACTCATGCTTGTTCAAGTTTATCACCAAATCCGCCTCCCAAAGTTGATCAAACAATTCTGAAGGATATTCCAAATGTTCCTTCCACGTGTGACTGGCAATCTAGTGATTTCTAATGTACACCACACAATTGAGTGATCCTGAAACAACTTTGTTAGTTAGTCTTTGAAATGTGGCTGGAGCATTTTTCACACCAAGTGGCATGAATTTAAACTTGTACAGTCCATTTTCAGTATCATGACAGCTAAAAAAAAATTCCTTTGCTCTTTCTGATAAAGGTACCTGCTAGTATACTCTGAATAAGTCCAACTTTGAAATATAAGTTGCTTGTTTCACCTCAATAGTGCCTTCCAAACGTGGAATAGAATAGGAATCAGATTTTATAACTGCATTGACTTTGCTATTGAGCACACTTAATCATTGGGTACCATCTGGTTTTAGCATCATTGCTGTGGGTGAGCTCCATTTCGCTGCAACTCACTTTGATTATGTTGTCTTTGCGCATACATTCAATCTCTTTTTGAAGCTGTGCCAACTTTAGAGGGTTAAGTCTATAAGAAGGTTGCTTAATTGGAACAGCATTTTCTATATCTACATCATGCATAATCAGATTAGTACTTCCCAGTTTATTCCCACATATCTCTCGATGTGATTGTAATAACTTCTTTAGGTCATTTCAGTTTTCCTCTGGAAGGTAAATTATTTTTATCCCAAATTTTGAGAACTTTCTCATTGTCCAATTCAGAATCATTTTTACTTCAATCTGTGTTTTAGCCAGCAACACATTCTTCTTTTGCTCTCCTTCCCTATCGAAGTACCTTTTGAGCATATTCACGTGACACACACTGAGATTTCGTTCTATCTGGCATTATCAAATAATTCATCTCACTCAATTTCCTTTCAATTTAATAAGGCTCACTAAACCTTGCCTTTACTGGTTCACCTACCATTGAGAGTGACACTAACAGTTTATCTCCACTAGAAAAATTACACATTTTTGATCTTTTAACTCCTTCCTGTTTCATCACATGCTGTGCGACTTTCAAATGCTGTATAATCAACTCACCCCTTCTATTTAATCTTTCCCTAAAATTTGACACACAGTCCAAATGTGTGGTCTCTGAAATCTAACTCACCAATTTCTCTTTAATTTGTGGTCCTCTCATCTCGTGCCTAAAAACTAATTCAAATGGACTGAATTTAGTTGCTTCATTAGGTGCATCCCTAATTGAAAAACATGCTTCATAGGAGAGTAATAATCTAATAGTGCACTATCATTGCATGTTGGTTTCTTAGATTGTCATAAAATTATTTTTAACACAACTGAATTTTCAGTGATGTTATGTAATGAGTCTAAACTAATGGTTTTTTGTGTTAAAGATTGTACGGAGAGCAGTGAAGGTATCCCGTTTGTTTGGCATTAACGTTGGCATTTTAACCACTACTTCCGTTAATTTCCTTCTACAGATCAAACGAGAGGTTAGCAGAAACCAATACTAAGCTACTAAATGAACGTCAACGTAGTAAATCCTTAATTGCTACCAGCATTATGAATGGAAGCGTTAACGCAACTCCTACACTCGAGATGGGTCAGCTGCAAAGCACAATGGGTAATGTCGGTAACCTGGGAACTTTCAACAGAAATCTAGGAAATAGCTTCCTAAATCCAGTGGAAGATGGAATATCCTCTACCAACAAAGTAGAGTCATACCTGGCTAAGGTCAGTTATCACAGTATAATTTTTATGCTCTAGATTTGTGTTTCCTTCCTGAACACATTGCTTAGATGAAGGCAATTTTTTCATGATCAATCATAGAACAAAAGTTTTAAGTATAATCTTCTAAGAGACAAAGTCCTATCCATTATATAGCTGATATTTTTCTACAATCTTCATAACTCTTTATTTTTAAAGTTGAATATTAAGATTTCTGCAAGTCATAGTGAAAATATATTAGGCAAGCAAAACAATTTTTCAGTAAATTCTTGTGTCCTCAATACAGTGCAAAACTTTGACTTTAGGTGGATCCTTGTCAATGGATTTTTGTGTTAATGTGCATCAGTTTTTAAAAATGTTCACCCCTCTGTGGCTGTGGAAATTATATCCCTTAAGCAATTTTTTTTTTTTTTTCAGAAAAAAACCAGTTAAAATTTTAATTTAATTTCTTAATAATGTGTTCGTAGCTGTTGTGAATTTTCTGTCTTATGGAAGGTCCTTGCCAGGAAAATTTCCAGGAGGAAAATTGTTCTACCTTGGCATAAAAGCCTCTTTTGCAAAGAAATACAGAATACTACAAAGATTTTCTTAAATGTTCTGCAGTGATAAATAAGTTTAATATGTTAAATTGGACGCCTAGAAAACAGGAAGCCCTGTGCCATACAGCAGAAGGCAAATGTTTTACAAAACTTCTTTGATTTCTACATTTTGGTTTTCAGTTTTAAGGTTCAGTTTGATTTCTACATAAATACTGCTGAATTGCTTGAAACCCCTTTTTTAAAAACACAAAACAGTGAATTTAATCCTGAACTGAGAGGTCTGTACACTCACAGGTCTCATTTCTCGCTCCTTCAGCTCCTCACTCAACACTCTGTTTCTCACCTATCTTCTATGCATCTGGATGCATAACAAGGTCTGTAGTCATGTGTTATTTGTTGACTAAAATTCATTGTGGTTGTGTTCTAAATTAGGGATATCCTTTGTTTATATCTGTCTAAACTGCTTCCTTTGGTCTGTGAAGTATATTCATGTCTGATAGAAGCAATAATTATACAAAATCTCCTAATGTTACATAATTAAATATTGAACTTAATTAGCTTAAATCAGCAAAATATAATGCTTGAATGCTTTTTGTTCTCCGGTAGTCTAGGTCATTCATATTGTTAGAATAGACCAGGCTGTTGACCAGTAATGTTTCTTTCTGACATTGCATGGAGTTGCAAGAAATATTTGCATACAGCATGGATTATGTTTTGATGTGAATGTTCATTGTCAAGCTGATTTCTGTTGTGTATTACTTTTAAAATCTCACTTTACATCTAGTGACACTGATGAGTAGCATTACAAACTTTATTAATCCATGACTTAAGATATATTGAAGAATTGAGTGTACACAAAGTATACAAATGAGGTTTAATTGCATGCTATTAGTGTTAATTTTGGACAGTTTATTTTTGCTGATAACAAAAGGAAAGTAACTTCTTATTGACATCTGACCTTTTATTTAAAATACTAATCCAACCAATTCAAAATTTAGAAATTAATATTTACACATAATTGAAATCCTCCAACTCTTGTCAATAAGTATAAATTTATATAAAAGGACCAAAATACAGCAAAATGACAATACTTAGAATAAACTGACCTAAAGTCTCAATACATTTAAATTCCTGTTGAGGGCAATAGGCTAGGGAAGATATTGGTGAAAAGACAAGGATATCTTGTGTCTTGCAATATTACAGAACCTAAACACTGAAGGGGGAACATTACAGCCGAGGGACAAAATTCAGAGAAGGCTTTCGGTGAATATCTTTTTTTTTTTTTAAAAAAAAAAAAAAAAATTCACCATGTTAGCAGTATTTTCCTGCTGGGGCCTGGGAATACGTACAACTTGCAGCACCAGGTATTATATCTCAGGACATCCCAAAGCACTTCACAGCCAATTTTGTACTTGGGGAGGAAATCCTAGAAGGATACATCATGGTCTTGTAGGCTTAAAAGTTGATAAATCTCTAGGGCCAGAGTGAGTCTGTTCAGTGAGGCAATGTAGAAAATAGCAGGAATGCTGGCAATAATTTTCACTACTTCTCTGGCCACAGGAGAGGTGCCACCACCATTATTCAGGAATGGAGCAAGTGGTAAACCAGGAAACTACGGGCCAATCAGTCTAACCTCAGTGGTGGGGAAACTATTGGAAGCAATTCCAAGGGACAAAATCATCTGTATTTGGGGAGGCAGGGATTAATTGGAAAAGGTCAGTATGGTTTTGTTCAAGTGAGGTCATATCTGACGAATTTGATTGAATTTTTCGAAGAAATCTCTAGGTATGCAGATGAGGACAGTACATTCGACTGTAGTCTACCTGGACTTTAGCAAGGCCACGTGGGAGGCTAATAGCAAAGGTAAGGGCACCTGATCCAAAGAAAATTGGCTGATTGGATCCAGATTAGCTGAGTGGCAGGAAGCAAGACATCATAATCGAAGGGCATTTTTGTAACTAGAAGCCTGTGTCCAGTGGGGTTCCGCAGGGATCAGTGTTGGAACCCTTCATGTTTGTGGTACATATAAATGATTTAGACTTGAATTTAGGAGGGTTGCTCAGTAAATTTACAGATGATATAAAAATTGGTGGCATACTAAATAGTGAGGAGGATAGCTGTAGCTTACAACAGGATGTAGGTGGGCTGATCGATAGCAAATGGAATTCAATCCAGATAAGTGTGAGGTGATGCACTTGAGCAGGACAAAGAAAACAATGGAGTACTGATGAACAGGAGGACTCTGGAAAGCACAGAGGATCGAGGGGACCTTAGGCAATGTCCAGCAGTCCCTTAGGTTAGCTGGACGGGTGGATAAAGTGTTTAAGAAGGCATAAGGGATACTTGCCTTTCTTAGCTGAGGCATAGAGTTTAAGAGCAGTGAGGTTATGCTGGAACTATACAAAGTGTTGGTTAGGCTGCTAGAGTATTGTGTCCAGTTCTAGAATTCACATTATAGGAAGGATGTGATAGCATTGAGGGTGTAGAGAAGATTTACCAGGATGTTGCTTGAACTGGAGAGGTTCTGAAGAGAGTTTGGATAGATGAGGGTTGTTTTTCTTGGAGCAGAGGAGACTGAGTGGGGACATTGTTGAGATTTTACAGAATTGACAGGGTAGACTGGAAGGAGCTTATCCCAAGACATACAAGGCTATGTGCCAAGTGCTGGAAAATGAGATTAGAAAAGTTAGGTTTCGACTGGCACAGATCTGATTGCCCAAAGTACCTGTGTTTGTGCTGCTGTCTTCTATGACTCTATAAGTTGTAATAATAAGATGGCAAGAAATTCATGTAGAGCACAAATACCATTATAGACATGTTTATAATGGCCTGCTTTTAATTAAAGAATTAACTGATGAGCTGGCTGAGATGTGAGAGTACTACTAATGAAATAAGGCTGACAAACAACACAATGTAGAGCCAGCTATGAGGAACGTGGGGGAAGGATGTTTCAACAACCTGAAAGTGTACAGTACTAATTGTAGTCAGAAAATTATAGGCAAAGTGTCCCTGAATTTCACACACCTATATCATGTGTTATAGTCAGAAGTGTTGGAAAGAAGAAATTTAGATATTCATCTCTGGCTATAGACATGTGATAGAGCAACCTAGGACCTAACCTATCGATAGCTGCTGAAATTGAGGTGATTTTAGATGAGATTCTTGGAAGGAGTGTAACCATATTAAACTACAGGGCTAATCTATAGGATGACATTGAAATTTGTTTGCAAGTAGAACTGAATGTTAGGTTACAGCTAACCACTTTTGTTCCTGAATCTTCCTACCTTCTGCATGTTAATTGCAAAATATATTACAGTAACTGGTACATCCTGGAGCCAGCTTCTCTGTGCATATAGTCATTGGCAGGTAGGTATGCCAGTGTCTATAAAAATAGTTGGTGGCATCTCATCTGGTGCTGTAAAGTTAGGTACCATTGGTTTTTGCTGACCGTGGAAGTGCAAGAGAAACTATTATATTAGTAAAGTGCCTTTAACTTCATGAAACATCCCAGGAACATTATAAAACAAAGAAGGATATCAAATCACATAAGGAGATATTGAGTCAAATGTCGAAAAGCTTAGTCACAGATTTTAAGTAGCGTCTTAATGGTAGAAAGCAAGGTGAAGAGATGTAGGAAGGACATTCCTGAGGTTTGGACTTAGGCAACAGAAAACGTGGCCATCCGTGAAGGACTATCATAACTTGGGGTGCACAGAAGTCCAGAATTAGAGGAGCAGAGATAATAAAGAGGGTTATGGGGCTGGAGGAGATTAGTGATAGTGACAGGCAAGGCCATGGAGATAATTGAAAACAAAATTGAGATGTTGCTTGACCAGAAGCCATGTAAGTCGGTGAGCATGAAGATGACAGGTGAGCAAAATTTGTTGTGAGTTAAGACATGGGTAGCAGAGCTTTGGGTGACCCCCAGTTTACTGAGGGAAGAATATGGGAAACCCGCCCAATGTGTGTTGGAGTAGTCCAAGACTATATCTTTTTATTTATCTGTATTTTTGATTGCGGATCAAAATCTATAAAGGACTGTTTTAAACACCAGTGATTATAAAAAGATTATTACACTGTTAGAGGCAGGTTTTCTGACATATTATAAGTGTTTACATTGCTGTTTATTCAAACAGTAGGGAAGACTACTACAAATGAGCTGGAGCCAAGGGCTGTGCGTGAAGTGAGAATCAGCCAGCGACAAGTCATTGATTGGTTTGTGGAGTGGTGACCAATTGTCAATGACATAGGCCTTCTACTTGTCATCAGCTCCCAGGTAGCTGAACAGCTTGTGTGTGTGAATGCTTGGTCAGAAGTCATTGGATCTCTGAAAAACAAGCTGTTCTATTCTGAGCAATAATTAATACTTCAAGCCTAAAGAAAACCAGTTCATTTCCCTTTATCAGATTTTGTAAGTTATGGATTTTTAAAAAACAAGTCAGAGACTTGGTAAATGTAAACCAGTCACCCAGTGCATCCTGAAAGCAAGTGAAAGTACCTGAAGGAGCAGCAAATCCTGACAAGCTGAAAGGATCATCTCGGTGGACCCTGTGAACAAGGACCAATGAACAGTCTTCCTAATCTTTCTTGCCACCCGTAACACCTCTGTTTTCTTGGTTTGTGTGTGTGTGTCTGTGTGTTAGTGAATAGTGGGAGTTTATAAGGAGATTTTGGGGAATTTTGGATACTTTTATAACCTCTTGTGATAATTCTGGAGATGGCAGGGCTTGAGTTCCAAGGCGCTACCCAAGTGAAATGTAACAGTAACATATGTATTAATGAGGGTTTCAGATCTGAATCAGAGATGACATGATGTACAGAAGCACTCTTAGTGATGGCACAGATAAGAGGTCAGAAGCTGTTTAGAACACATGACACCAAACCTTTGAACAGATGGCTTGATCTCCCAGTGCTGCCAAGGAGAGGGATGGAGTCAACAGATAGGGAGCACAGTGTGTAGTGAGGACTGAGAACACTTTGCAATGTTTATCCCTTGCAAGCCCCACACCATCCTGATTTGGTACTGAATCACTGTTCCTTCACTGTTGCTGGGTCAAAATTCTGGAAGTTCCTATCAGCACTGTGGGTGTACCTATTCTCCCATGGACTGTAATTTTCAAAAAGTTCATTGTCATTCAGCTTACCACCATCTTCTCAAGGGCAGTTGGGAATGCGAATCAAATACGGTCATAGCCAGCAATACCCACAACTGTAAACAATTTTTAAAAATTATGCTCATCCACTCATGGATGTTAAATAAACAGTATGATAATTTTGCAATAGTGGAGGAGTCTAGAGCACGAGAGGTGAGGTAAAGCTTGGTGTCGTTCAGTGTATGTGTGGAAACTAACTCTGCCTTTGGATGATGTTGCCAAGGCTGTAGATGAGAAATTGGACAGGGCCAAGGATTGATCCTTGGGGAGCACCAATGTAGGAATAGGAAGAGAAGCAAACGCAAAAAGAATAATGGATACGGCTAGATTGATAAAAACAGAATCAGCTGAAAGCAGTTCACCCAGCTGTACAATAGTGTATTCAAGATGGATTGTGTGGTCACATACTGCTGACCGGTTTTGGGGGTTGAGTAGGGTAAGTCCGACTTTCATCACATAGGATGTCAATTATGACTTTGATCCGTATTGTTCTGGAACTGTAGCAATTTGGAAACCTAATTGGAGGAATTCAAACATTAAGTCCCAAGAAAGATGGGAACAGATTGGGAGATGACAACGTATCCAAGGACTTTGGAGAGAAAAAGAAGATTGGTGATGGGACAATAGTTTTCAAAAATTGAGGGAGTAAAGAATTTTTTTTTTGAGGAGATGTGATTTCAGAGAATCTAAGGAGAGATTGAGAACTGTTTACAAAATTGGTTAATATGGAGGGCAAGGGAGGAAGGAGGTTGGCTGAATCAACAACTTAGTGGTAATAGGATCAAGGGGATAGGAGTTTGGTTTGATGGAATTGATCAGGCAATACAAAGAGATGGAAGAGAAAGTAAAAGTTTCAGGGCTAGAGCAGGGAGAGCATTAAAGGAAGTTTAGCTAGATGGCCTAGTGGATTGGAGGAACATAGCAGAGGCAATTGATACGGTTGTCTCAATCCTGAATGACAAAGAAGTCCGTGAACTGTTTGTACTTGGAGGCTAGAGTGGATGGGACTGGGAATAGGGGTTTATGAAAACAATTTGCAGTAAAAAGCCAGGGATTATGTTTGGATTCAGGAAATGTGGAGGTGCTGGTTTTGGACTGGGGTGGACAAGGTCAGAAGTCACACAACACTAGGTTATTGTCCTGGTGTCGTGTGGATTTGTATGACCTTTTGATCTCTCGGCCTATAAGTTCCATGCATGTGTGCTTCTCTTCACTTCACCTGACGAAGGAGCAGTGCTCCTGAAGCTTGTGATTTCAAATTAACCTGTTGGACTATAACCTGCTGTCATGTGACTTCTGACCTGGATTCAGGCTAGTCCTGCAACAATGAGCAGCTTCAGCCGATGGCAGGAGGACCAGGTAGAAGTTTAGGCAGACCAATTAAAACTAGATATCTGCCATCTACTTTCAGCATTCCTTGGACCAATGGACATGGAGATGTGGACCTTACCGGGGAAATAGCCAGGGTGAAAGAGAGAAAAATATTTTTGAAGGGGAGAGGATATCAGATTTAAAACCTATAAAGACCAGTCAATCAAAGAATGACATCCTGTAATACAGCAGTTACATAGTCAAATATTGTGAGAGAGCCAACTTCCAACAGGAAAAGGGCTTCCATTAGTACTCTGTCTGCCACAGTTTCACACTAAACATGCAAGGTCTGAATGGGCACGTACAGATCCTGGAACGGTCAGAATTGCCTGACATCTCTATGCAGGCCTATCTTCAGCACAGAGAATTTCCATTAGCAAGCAGCATTAAAGAGAACTGGAAGAGAGTATAGAATGAATTAACAAATATCATAAAGTCTAAATGTCAGCAGGAAATAGAGAAAAATAAAGTTAGCCCAAGTGTCTAATGCACTTATATGAAGCATTGCAGCCCTTTGAAACACCCATCATAATGAAATATCCATTTCAAGATACTCTTCCCATCTGCCATGCTAAATTTGGAATCCAGAAGATCCATGGGTCACTAAAAAGAGAAACAAAGCTTCCTGCCACTTGTATGGGGAGCAGAAAAGGGCTTCATTAAAAGTTTATGAATCAAATATCTGAACCAGCTTGTCCTACATGTTTGCAAATTAACTAATGTGAAAACATTAATTGACTCTTGTATTTGTTACTTCTTGAGAACTTTCTGGGACATTTAAGGGGGGAGCAAAGATCAGCTTAGCAAGGCCACTTGGAAAGGATCAGTGCTAATCATGAGGTTATAATATAGTTTATCATGTAAGGGATGAAAAGTAATCTATGGTATAGGCTTTAGTTCACTGTACAATAACAAACCCCTCCTCATAAGCAGATGAGAGTGATCCAGCATGCGAGTACTTTGCAATTCTAACTTTTTTTGACAGATTATTAAATAAATGTTTGTTCTTGTCCATTGAATGCTTTACTTTCATTTCCACAATTGTTTCATCAAATTGTATTAATCCGTTCAAATGTTGTCATTTCAGATGCAGGAAGCATTACAAAAAAATATTTCCAAAGAACTTGTTCAAGGTAAATGATAGAACATTTATAGCGTAGTATTTTTGTATGTTAACTACTGGAATAATTGTAAATGCAGTCCACTATAATTGAGTTGCGCCATAATTCAAATTTATATTAAAATATAATTGGAGCTATTTCTTCCTGCAATTTGATACAAGAGTAATCTGTGACCTCAACTCCTCACTGAAATAGTGGGTACTGTAAAGGACGATTGCATAACAATATGCAGAATCAAATTGCAATTTATTAAAAGCAGAAAGACAGATTATTATCTGAAAGGCAATAAATTGGGAAACAGGGAGTTGCAATGAGACCTAGGTGTCCTTGGATGCCAATTGCTGAAATTAAGCATCCAGGTGCAGGCAGTGAAGAAGGTAAATGGTATGAGACAACAAGGTGCAGGGCTGGATGAACACAGCAGGCCAAGCAGCATCATAGGAGCAGAGAGGCTGACGTTTCGGGCCTAGACCCTTCATCAGAAATGTTGACCTTCATTAGTGAGAGTATTTGAGTACGGGAGCAGAGATGTCTTGATGCGATTGTATAAGATCTAAGTGAGACCACATCTGGTACAGTTTTGGCCTCCTTATCTAAGGAAGTATATTATGTCAATGGAGGAGTGTAACAAGGGTTTACTAGACGGATTCCTAGGATGGCAATACTGACGTGATGAGAATCGGTTAGGACAATATACTGGAGTTTAGAAGAATGACAAGGGATCACATTGAAACCTAAAAACTTATAACAGGACTAAGCATGATAAATGCAGAAAAAATGTTCCGGATGACTGGTGAGTCTCAAACCAGTCTAAGAATATGGAGTAGGTCATTTAGGACTGAGGTGAGGAGAAATGTCTTCATCCAGAGAGTGGTAAACCTGTGGAATTCTCTGCCACAAAGTTGTTGAGGCCAAAACATTGAATGTTTTCAAGAAGGAGTTAGACATAGTTCTTAGGGCTAAAGGGATCAAAGGGTATGGGGAGAAAGCGAGAACATGGTACTGAGTTGGATGATTTGCTGTGATTATGTTGAATAGCGGAGCAGGCTCAAAGGACTTAATGGCCTACACCTGCTCCTATTTTCTGTATCATGATGCTGATCCGTTAATTTGCTTATATAAAGCTAGTTCTTTTGCCCCACTATCACTACTTTTTCCTCTAACAGACAGGGTCTTGGTTTGTTTCTAGCCTAATGAGAGAGTCAAAAATAGCTTGTGTTGACATATCTTTCTTAAAATTTGAGGTCACAGATAACGGTTGTCAATTCAGTTCATTCAGTATTATTAAAAAAAGTGGCTAACGGCACTGGTACGTCCAGCTGTGGTATTGAAGAATCATGCGCTGGAATTAGTTGCAGCCCTAGACAAGCTTTTCCAGTACAGCCACAGCCCTGACTTCTACCTAATAATGTGGAAAATTACCCAGGTGTATTGTGTCCACAAAAAACAGGGCAAATTCATTCTGACCAGTTGTCACCCTATAAGTTTCCTTGCAATCATTGGAAAAGTAATTGAAAGTGTAGTCAGCTGTGCTATCAAGCAGCATTTACTGAACACCATCTTTCCCACTGGTATCTAGTTTGAGTTCTGCCAATGGCACTCAGCTTTGGACCACATCACAGACTCAGTCCAAACATGGACTAAAAGTTGAATTCCATAAATGAGAGTCACTGTCTTTGACATCAAGGGAGCATTTGAACGAGTGTTGTATCAAAGTCCCTACTAAAATTGAAGTTGCTAGGGTAATCTCTACATATTTTGGAGTTTATTTAGCAAAGAAAAGAATTCCAGAGGCTGAGAGGATCAGCAGGGTGATTGTAAAAGAGGCTATAGACAGGAAAGCACAGAACACATGGTGGAGTGCATGGCTGAGGTTTCACTAAACATTAGCAATCAATAATACTACTGGATTAAACACATTCACGTAAAATTGCTGAGAGAATATGAATGATTAAGCATAGTCCACTGAAGAATTGTAGAAAGCATGAACATAAGAACAGGTTCATTTGGTAACTAATTTCTACATCTGCATTCCAGCCACTGCTGATTTGGATAGAGGATCTACACGGGTCTCACCTCTTGGATCTGCTGCTGGCTCACTGAAGAGCATAAACCAAGACCAGGACCCTGTCACTAGAGCCACAGAACAATACCTGGAGGTTCTGAAGAAAAATTACATGCTTTGAGTTGTCTTGTGCCCTTTTTAAAAAATATTCTATGAACATTCTGCACAAAAGCAGGTCAAAATATCAGTTCTCCTGAAAATCTGTCCAATTTGAGAATTTTATTAATACAATATGCTGTTTAGTTATAACATTCCATGGATTTGATTAACTGATTGTAAAAGCATGGAAAGTTATTTTACAGCACATAGATTTCTTTAACTATATTTGCTCAGGAGGAAATTTGTATATCAATCTAAAATTATTGTACAGAGTCTATTCATATTATTTGTTGGAAGTGACATTTGACCAAACCAATTCTAATAAGTGTTATTTAGGGACTGCAATCTCCCCGCATTGGTGTCTTACAGCTATTGAACAAGTTCCCAATTAATGGAATATTCCATAATCTGAATTAGTGTTTATTGAATTGTACAAGATATAAGCATTTTATCAAAGTACATTTTTGCCACAAATTATTACAAAGTTGGTTGTTTGTGAATAATAGCTTGGTTAAAATGTCTATTCTGTTGTGGTACAGTAGTTTATTGTCAGTGCTAAGTCTTTTTATGGATGTGTTTTGGTACATACAGTAAAGCCATTGCATTGCACAACAATTTCAACATTAAATGGTAATGTTTACTTCTGGATGCATTGATGTTTAATTTCCTGAATACTTATTACCATCCCTAACATCGCAACTAAGAGAACCCAGCTTTATTTCTTAACCCCTCAACTCGTGATTGTGAAAAAAGCCTCTGACCAGATGAGTGAAGTAGGCAATATCAGTTGGACCCAAGGGTTTATGTTTGTATTTTCCACAGATCCCTCTTGTAACCTTGAGGCCAAGCTTCACATCTGTCTTATAAAGGAAGAAATGTGTTTTGGTTTCATTACGGACATAAAAATTAGGAGTATCAGTAGGCCATTCAGCCCTACCATGCCATCTTAGAAGATCAAGGTCGATATATCCCAGGTATCAATTGCTCTTTCATGCCAACTTCTCATAGATTTTTGAAATAGAAGAGTTAAGAGCTATCTACCTCCTCTTTAAATACTTTGTGATCTAGCTTCCATGCTTCTCTGGGGGAAGAGAATTTCAGACATGCATAACGGAGAAGAAATTCCTTCACATTCTCAGCCATTAGGTCCTGCTGACTTGATGCCTTCAGTCCCATTAGTTAGTTAAATTTTTTGTCCCTTGTTATAGAGACTGTTACGGTCTTTGCTCCCATTAGCACCTTGCTTATCTGATATTTTTGAAAAGTTAATAGTGTCCTCCACCATGAAGACCAATGCAAAATGCTGGTCTTAAATTATCTGTCATTTCCCTGTTCCCCATTATCAATTCAACAAGAACATGACTGATTCGATTTAGCCTCAACTCCAAATTCCCATCGACCTTAGATCTGTGACTAACGTGGAAGTCAATCTACCTCTTCCCTTAAAATAATTTAATGAATCTGCCTCTGCTGTTCTCCAGGGTGATGTTCCAAAGACTTATAACCCTCTGAGAAAATAAAGGTCACAACTGATTTTTAAACTGTCTTCTAGTCTCTCCCACAAGGGAGCATCCATCTTGTCAAATTCTCTCCGATCTGTTATAATTCACCTCAATCTTAAACTGCAGTGCATACAGACCCATCCTGCTTTGCCTACCTTCATCTGATAATCACCCCGCATCCCAAGTATTGATCAAATGTAATCCATTCGTTAAATGAGGAGGTCAAAACTGTAGTCATCCACATAATTTCATGAAGTCCAACTCTAATGCACTTAAAGTTTTAGTGGGAAGGATAACCCACAGAATCAAGTAGTTAGATTTTGCTCATATAAGTTATGAGTAATTGTTATTGACTAATTCCTGAATGTCTTCATTATATGGGCATTGTGGATGAAGTAATCATAATGGATTCAGGAATGCTACATTGATGTGGCTCCATGAAATTGGAAAATTCTTAAATTCAGTTGTTTTATGACTACTCCTTTGGAAACTTTAAAGAAAATCAAAATGTGCAATATTACTTGGATGATGTCACTTGTTCATTGAATCACAGAATCCCTGATTGTTGGAATACTTGCAATTGTTACCCTCAGGGTATGTAGTATAATGATTTTGTTACTGGATTTGTGACTAGAGTTCTGGACCAATGCAGAAGTGAGCTCTAGTCCCACACCAGCAGCCAGAAAATTCAGATTTGGTTAAACAAACAAAAAGCTAGTATCAGTAATGGTGACAAACTACTAGAGTTTCATAAAATAAATCAAAGAACTGCAGATCTTGGAGATCTGAAACAACTGAAGTGTTAAAGGCAGCAAGAGTGCAGAATGGGTGAAGGACTTCAATGTTCGTCACCAAGAGTGGCCTATATCACTGCTACTGGCCAGTGTACCTGGGTCCTGGATAACTGCCAGACCCGTTTGTAGTGTGGAATGAGGAAACAGAGGGAAAATTTATATTACCTTGTCCCCATAATAAGAACAAGAGTAGGCCAATCAGCTCCTCCAGTCAAATTCAGAGCAGATCAATAGCTCAAAACTGGGCATCTGAGGTATACTGGATCAGCAGCAATAGCAAAATTGTATTTACAACTTCATGGCCTGTCATATTACTCACTCTACCATAATCATAAGGAAGGCATACCTAAAAATAAGGTGCCAGCCAAATGAAGCTGCAATATAGCAGAACATGCAATGATAAACAGCAGAAGCAACATACTATAAAAAAATCAAATAGTGATCCCACATTCATTGGATCAGATCAAAGTTCTGCAGTTCTGCTCCATTCAGTTGCACATGATTGTGGACAAGGAAACTACTAACGGGAGGAGCTTGAATGTGCCAATTTTCAATGCTGACGGAGTCCAGCACATGAATCCAAAGGACATTACAAAAAAAAACTTCAGCTAGAACTCAGCCTCCTCCTGAAGACTTCATCCACAAAAGCCATTTCTTAACCAATTAAATTCAATTCCATGTCAAAAAAAAAACATCAAGCACACTGGCTAGAATAAAAGCTATGGACCTCAACAACATACCTGCTGTGATTCTGAAGACATCTGTTCCAGAACCAGCTATTCCTTTGGCCAAACTATTTCAGCACTACAATATTTGTATCTACAAATCCTATCTAGATAACCTCCTCCTTGATCCACCCTCAATCAACAGCAAGCAATGTCAATAGTGCTACCAAGTCACTGATGTAAGTGCCATGATGGAGTGACTTATGAATCTTTTCACTGTACTTTTACATGAAAAATGTGATAAATTTCTATTCTATCCATTAAAAAACAAAAGTGGCATTTACTGACCAATAGTCTGCTAGAGTCAAATGTAAACGAAAGGAAAACCGAAAGAACTGTGGACGCTGTAAATCAGGAACAAAAACAAAGTTGTTGGAAAAGCTCAGCAGGTCTGGCAGCATCTGTGAAGGAAAAAGCAGAGTTAACGTTTCGGGTCCAGTTCTGAGGAAGGGTCACCGGACCCGAAACGTTAACTCTGTTTTTTCCTTCACAGATTCCGCCAGACCTGCTGAGCTTTTCCAACAACTTTGTTTGCAGCCACCTTCCTTTAGTTTACAAAAACAGTCATTTGGTAGTACAGAATCAATGAAATCACACAAGTGCTATGGCACGTCAGGAAGCCATTCAGCCAATCATGCCTGCACTAGCTCATTAAATGGGGATCATTACCTAGTGACAACTGAACTTGAGAGTTGCTGAAAAAGCAATTTTCTCATTAATTCAGCTTTTTGTCTTACACTCAAACCTAAGAAACTTGCAAGAAATTAAAGGGAAATAACATTTATATTGCTGACTGGTCAGCAAGTGGCCACTGGTAGAGGTGCCATGGTGAATGTACCTATTAATGATAATTGACAGTTAACTGTTAAGCTTTACATTTTAAATCAAACAGTCCCCCTCAATCATAGATCAATTAGAGTATGCTCATGATTCTAAACTCAAATGAATAAAAGCATAATTTATTAGCCATGCTTGATAACTGCTTTATCCCAGGAATCTGCAGAATGTGAATCACTTTTGAATGTCTTTTGCCTCCAATAGAGATTGATTCATGGCTGATCTGATAATCCTCAACTCCTGCCTTTTTCTCCACAACCTTTGAACACCTCACTGATTATTAATGTCTATTTCAGCCTTAAAAATTCTTACGGACTCAATCTTGGCAGCCCTCTGCATTAAAGAACTCCACAGATTCACTATCCTCGGGGAAGTAATTTTTCCTCGTGTTTTAAAATGGGTGACCCTTCAGTCTGAGGTTGGACCTGCTGGACCTAGACTCTCCCAGAGTGAAAAAAAACTCTCCAAACTTAACCTATCAAGCCTCTAAGAATCTTAAACATTTCAATAAAGTCAACTCTCATTCTTCGAATTTCTAATTATTACAGACCTAAACTATTTAACTATTCAAAATCAGTCCATACACAGGTTCAACATAGTGAAACCTCTCTGACCTGCCACCAATGTCAGTATTTCTGATTAGTGCTGTGTATAGCTTTGGGCAAGACTTGCTTATGTTTATATTCCATTCCCTTTGAAATAAAGGTCAACATACCATTACTTTCATGATCACCTGCTAAAATTGGATGCTAAATTTGTGATTCATGCACGAGGACTCCCAAATCCTTCCATGCAGCAATTTTCTGCAGTCTTCTCAATTTAAATAATATTCACTTGCTGTATGCTTACTGCCAAAGTGCATAACCTCACATTTTCCATCTGCCACTTTTTTTCCAACTTGCTTAACCTGTCCATATCACTCTACAGACTGTGTGTCATCCCCTCTACTTGCCTTCCCATTGATTTTTCTGTCATCTGGAAACTCAGCATAAATACATTCACTTCCCTCATCCAAGTTATGTATACATTGTAAATAACTGTGGCCAGAGTATTGATTCCTGTTCCACTCCCCATGTTACAGGTTGTCAACCTGAATGACCCCTGAATCCCAACTGTCTCTCTTCTATTAGTTGGCTAATCTTCTACCCACACTAATATACTATCCCCAACATCCATTGGTTATTTTCTAGTCAACCAGCTCAGAAATGTTATGACACACCTCTGGAGAATATGAGACTTGAACCTGGGACTTCTGGCTCAGAGACAGGGACAATACCACTGCATTACAAAAGCACCCCCAATATCATGAAATCTTAAGTAGTTTCATATGTACCTTATCAGATCCCTTTTAGTAATCCAAATATATTATTGGTTCCGCTTTATCTATCTTTCTCAATCTTGAAAGCTCCAATCCTGCTAGCTTTTTGGGAGAAAGATGTTCCAAATTTCTGCCATTTTATCTTAAAAAGCCCATATTTCTGATCATGAGTTCAGCAATATTTACACAATAAATTAAAATAAAACAATCCAGCTCAAAATACAGATTTGATTCCCAAATCTCTGGAGAAACATTACATTTTCCCACCACATTCAAAGCATGAATTGCCACTGTGCTGCTGGACTCATGTTTTCTGGTACTAACTGGGCATGTCCTAGTAGCAATCACATTCAAAAACAACACAATTCAGATGGATGTAAACTGATGGCACTGGTACAGGTGGTCTCCGGTTTACAAACAGATCTGTTCCTGAGTACATTTGTACGTCGATCTGTACACAAGTC